ATAGCATGTTATATTATTAATTACTGTCCTAAAATATTAGTTGATAAAAAACATAGCATGTTATATTATTAATTACTGTCCTAACATATTAGTTAATAAAAAACATAGCATGTTATATTATTAATTACTGTCCTAAAATATTAGTTGATAAAAAACATAGCATGTTATATTATTAATTATATTTCTTGCTCTTGTCTTCTTGACAAAACATTTGTTATAATTATTCCTAAATTTTTTAAAGGTAAAAATATGTCAATTAATTAATTAATCTCTGTTTTCCTTTTTACACTGTATGCAACCAGTTATTCTAATTGCACCATGCACGTGCTTGCATTTAGCCAGATAAAAAACAAAACTAAAACCTCAATCGATAAAGCTTGTATGAATGCCATTATGTGAGCTGCTTTTATATTTGACGCATTGTTTAAATATTTTATTTGCTTAAAATTGGGAAACTGAAATTTACTTTGGCTTTAAAAATGAAAAGAGAAGTAATGTACGTGTACAATAAAGAGAATGAAACAAACTTGTTTCTGTTTTGAGGAAAGTAAGTGTAATAATATTTCTGCCATTAAAAATCTGATGTTACACTTCATTACTGACAAACAAAATATTTTTACAGTAACAAGTTAATTAAGTAACACATTACCCCCAACTCTGGTGTAACAGACATATAAAGATAAAATCACTCGATTTCAAGCAACGTTGAACTCACTGGTATAGAACTGTACAAAAATAAGTCAGTAATTTTAAGGTTGAACTACATTATACTCTTATTATTATAAACTTTGCATAATTTCTAAGTTTGAATTATTTGAGAAAAACTGTTGGAAATTATGTAGAACATAATTTTTATTTTATAAGACTAACTTATTCTTTAATTAGATATGAAAGGAAAATTTGAAAGAATGACAAAAGCTTAACAGACACACGAAGATTACAGTGAAGACCAACAATACATCGTGAAAGAACTTGGAAAGTGCTAACTTTGAAGTACTTGACGTAACAGATTTTGAGGTGTTTCTTAGATGGCATCATGAGAAATGGTGTTCTGGCATCATCTGGAACAAAGAATTATTCTTATGATAGGAATGCCTTTTCCAAGCTGGCAAAGCATGGTCATAATTAATTATACTTGTTAAAAGACATTACTATTAGGCTTATTATATTCCTTCTTTGCCAGCTTGGAAAGGGTGTTCATGCCATAACAACTGTTGTTGTAGCAAATGGCTTATATAAATAGTGTTCTGATCACAACTGTGTTTGTTGTGTCCCAGCCAGTCTGATGAGTTCTGGATTGAGCAAAATGTGTCATTGGCAATGGATATGGCAAACATAGTGTGGTAAAATGCTATTGTCATACACACTTCTAATTCTTGAAAATCCCTAAGGGACTAAGTAAACAATGCATTGTTTAAGAAATATAATAGGCCTAATACTATTGTCTTGTAACAAGAATAATTAAGGAACTGTTCTGTTCTAGAATGGACAGGCCAGCATTTTCTCAGCATCTCATTATCAAAGAACACATTTAGGACTGTATAAGTTCAGAGATAGATTTATGTCCTTCTCATGCAACCACCTGACACACTGGATCAACCAGACTCGTTTAGCCTATAGAACAAACAGTGACATTGTAGGCCTCCTTGTCCAAACAGCTAGGGCTGAAGAGAAGATGCTTGTCTGGTGGATAAAATAAACATTCTCAAAACTCAGATTTGCTTATGCTTGAAAAATGGTGTTGCTGCAAATTAACACTTCCAACTTTTTAGATATATGCCAATAAACTGTCAATTAATCCTTGATTTAATTGGATCAGTATAATTGGAAAAACGAAGCATCATCTTTGGCTTTGGATCATAACTGGAATTAAGACATTTTTGTTTTACTTCATACATTAGACAATAGGAATAGTGAGCCACATTATATTTCAGTTTATTTTAAATCCATTATTAAACAATTTGCCAAACTTTTTTAAATTTTAGGCTGATAATTAACATGACTAGAATCCAGATATAATTTTTTAGTCCTAGTTTTTTGCTATGTGAACCTTAATAACCAAAGGATTAGCTACATTCAGTCGGAGAAGGTTCTTTTTAACTATTATTGTTATATGCTTTATGGTGGTTAACTGTATTTATAGAATATCTGCTAGTCTCCAATTTACATTGTGATAACTAATTAGTCATGTAATGTGTGGATTAATTAACATATAACATATAAAATGTAAGGACAACAAATGCCCTGTTAGTCCATCTGGGTTTTTCCATTCTACTGAAAAAAAAAACATGTTCAAAGCCATCCCTTATCATTCAAATATTTATCAAGTCTTCCTTTAAACTCCCTGTAATTTATTACATCCACCACATCTGAAAGCAACCCATTTCATAAACCAATTACCCTATTAGAAAAGTAAAATTGTCTTAGCTGAAGATGACCTCTATCCTGTCCAAATCTATACTTGTTCCCCTCCTACCGTTTTCTCCATTATTTATGGGGAAAAAAAAAAGATGATGCATTGACACTATTTCAGTTACCTTAACAATCTCACACACCTCAATCAGATCCCCTCTAACTCTTTCTTTTTCCAAGAGAAAACAACTTTAGATATCTTAAACTGTCCTCGTATGGCAACTTTTCCATCCCAGGTGTCAACTGAGTAGCCCTCCTCTGAACCCTTTCCAACAATTCAATGCTCTTTTTAAGGGAAGGTGCCCAAGATTGAACACAATACTCCAAACATGGTTTAATCAATGACCTATACAATAACATTATAACCTCTTTAGACTTGTATTAAATCTTGGCTGGTTTAAGAGACTGATCAACTAAACACCAAGATATTTTTTAAAACATTTCTTTCATAAAACTGTACTTTATAGGTAGAAACAACATAAAAGTATTTAGTGAATTTATAAGGAGTATGTAAACTTTAGGCCTATATATATAAATTGGTAATAAAGTATTAAATGATTAAAATGGGGTTATGGGGGATGAATTTGAAGAATGTCAAACTTGGGAGCAAACAAGTAATGAATATGATCCAAATTTCCACTGAGAAAAATCAAGTTTTAGGAACATAACATCATGTGATTTGTATATAATCTATAATATAAAACTGAATATTAGTTCCAACAACAACAACACAAATAGCGATATATAAGTCACACACCTGAGGAGATTTTGCATTTTTCAGTACGACCCATTATTATGGGCCTTATACTGGCCTAACGTAGAGTAATATATTGTTTTCACTATTGTTTTTGCCAGGTATATGCTGAAATATTGTACATAATAAACTGATGCTTTATGGTCGTATATTTCATAGTATTATTTTTTGCATTTTTATTTGTTTCTAAAATGTATTTCTATATAACAGTATATTGTTATTAATATTTACATGGTATGTATAGTTGAATATAAAATTAATACCTACTCATGTTTTCCATTACTTATCACGAGGCTTTATAGGTCATTTATACGTGATGATGAAATACATTCATACGTGCTAAATATTCTGAAAAAAAAGTGTCTGCCCTATATATTTAAACACATAGTAGATTTGTTACGTAATTTTTCCACGCAGTAAACTAGAAAAAAAATTTTTGTTTCTGCACCGAGTTACACAATAGGTTATATACGTTCTGTATCGAACACCAGATTTCAGCGTTGTAAGTCCATAAATTTACTGCTGACCACCGGGGATTGAAAGCAAAGGAATGAGCAATAATGGTAAGGAAATAACTTATTTTATTCTAATAAATGATCCTATACTAGTGTATCTAATTTTGTTTATGTTTCTATCTTATTTATTGAACTTAAATTATTTTAAATTATATATTTAAATATAAATTCTATGAAAATATTCGACAAAATCAAAGAAATTAATGTTAATTTATTTATCAAAATTTGTGTATTGTACCTACACGTTGTCCACTACACTTGTGTAGAATTGTGATTTATTGGTTTTTAAAACCGGCATAAAAATATTTCATAAAGAGCTTACACTTTTTAATCGAAGTTCTTTAGAACTAGCAATATATTTGACATTATTAACAACGTTTCGCAATTTCTCGATTATTTATCTTCCAACTATATTGAAATGTTATCATAGTGCGGTATTTATATTATGACGTCATATGCAAGGTCTAAGAGGGCGTCTTGTGTGTGGTGATAGAATGTTATGGTTAGGTTAAGATAACAATAACAAAGGTAGTTTAAATTTATTTTTATTTGTTATATTAGTAGTGTAAATAATATCATCTATCGTTATTTTATGACATATTTCTAACGTAATACGTTTGAAATTTTAAGTCTTTTTAGCGGAGACGAATGCCAAAAAAGTCGGAAATGAATGGGTTGTCGTTCAGTGACATCTGTTGTCTCTTTTGTTGTCCTCCTTTCCCATCACGAATTGCTGCCAAATTGGCTTTCCTTCCGCCAGATCCTACATATTCCTTTATTCCAGATGAAGCTGGAACAAAATTTACTCTTAAACTATCAGATAGAGCTGAGTGGCAGTATTCCCAGAAAGAACTTGATAACTTCGAAGTATTTTATACACGAACAACAAGGGGCAATCGCATAGCAGGTATGTATGTTCATTGTTCGCCAAATGCAAGACATACAGTACTTTTCAGTCATGGGAATGCCGTCGATCTTGGTCAGATGAGTAGTTTTTACTTAGGTTTGGGATCTAGAATAAATTGTAATATTTTTAGTTATGACTATTCTGGATATGGAATCAGTAGTGATAAACCTTGTGAGAAAAATTTATACAGTGACATTGATGCTGCTTGGCATTTATTGAGAACAAAATACAATGTTAGCCCAGAAAACATCATTTTATATGGACAGAGCATAGGGACTGTCCCAACTGTGGACTTGGCATCAAGATATGAAGTAGGAGCAGTGATTCTACATTCACCTTTGACTTCTGGAATGAGGGTGGCCTTCCCAAATACCAAAAGAACTTGGTTTTTTGATGCATTTCCAAGGTAACATATACTTTTTTTATTTGTCACATACTGAGTTCCTGTTACATCGTAAATTTCCTATTAGTGTTAATAAAGCTACAAGTTACAAGCCAATGATTATCATTAATTATATGTACTTAAAGTGGTATTAGTAACAACACTTGTTTCATCACTTTTGCACAAATGGAAAGTAATAAAAATGTCAATTAATAACTAAGCAAATAGAGCTGGGTGATTTATGATGTTCGCTAATCCAATAATTGATATTTGTCCCTTACAAGCAAAAAATTAAAGAAAAAACTGGTGCATTCTAGCTTCAACAACTGTTTTATTCTAACATGATATTAATCTTCTAATTTATATTCATATATTGATCAAAGAAACCCTCCACATCAAGCACCACTCTCCAACTCTGAACAACATGCAGTCTTCATTTAAATTATACATTTTTTAATATGTTCGTATTACTGA